GTGGCAATCGGGTCCTACACTCAGCTCAAAGAGCGCGGCATTGATCTCATGGCATATCAGAGACAAACCGATGGACCAAATGATATGAATCGGAGAATATCTATCACTCCATCGATGGTCTCATCTATTAGTGAGGGATCGGAAATGACGGACGTTAAGGAAGGGGAGGAAATAGAAGAACAGGAAGTGAAGGCCGAACTCAAAATGATTGGATCCGTTGAGTCCTCTGTATATTATGAGTACATTAAAGCCGGCGTTGGATTTCTGGTTGTATTTCTTACCATTTTGTTTTTGATTACTTCCCAAGTCTTTTATCAGGGAAGTGTTTATTGGTTAAGCTTATGGTTAGTATTATAAGAGTCTACCAAATTTAATTGAATTTCACTAATATACATAATGTTTATTATATTATACATATTATATACATGTACATTTATATTAGGACTAATGAAATGCGCAAAACGCCTGATAAAGTGGATCAAACATTCAACATAATTATATACACGAGTCTAACCTGTGGTCTGTTTGTGTCGGCCCTGTTGTCCATCATTTGTTTCTACATAATGTGTATGAGATCTTCAGTTAATCTCTATAACAAAATATTCTGTGCGTTATTGCGATCACCGATACATCTGTTTGAGAGCTCACCCATTGGTAACACTCTTAAAACTATTTGGTATCGATTTTAATGAATAATAAATCAATTCATTTAACCATAATATTTAGGCCGAATACTAAACAGATTTTCAAAAGACACGGGAATTGTGGACGAATTGTTACCATCGGTTGTCTTCGAATGTATTACTGTAAATTAGTAAAATTTAATGGTTTATTTATAATATAATAAAATACTTCAGTAATACTTTTTTATTATTAATATCCATATTATAGAAAGTATTTGTAATAATCGGAAGTCTTATAGTGAATGCGATCGTCAATTGGTTTCTGATATTTCCGGCAATACTTTTGTTGATATTAGTGTTTATTTGTCGTTATTTCCACATCAGAGCCGCGAGGGATATATAGCGTTTGGAGGGGTTGTGTATGTTTTACCATAATTTTTATTTAAGCTTACAATTCTCTCTCTCATTCAGACCACTATTTCTCCCATTTGTGGCCAATTTTTAGGTGGTTTCCGATCGGGAGCGGANACGTGAACACAACGCTGTGTGGGCTGACATCGATCCGTGCGTTTGGCGCACAGCATATGTTTGAGCGTCAGTTTGAAGTCCACCAAAACGACAACACCTCTACTTTTTTCCTATTCATCTGCACTTCCAGAGCACTCTCAGTCTTAGTCGACACGATTTGCATACTATATCTCATCGCTATTATTGTATATATTATGATCAGTAATGAGGGTATGTTTGCACTTATGATATTTAGTTACAAACATCTGATTTAATTGTGTTTATTATTTAAAAGGTATTCCCGGAGGAAATGCCTGACTTTTGTTAACGTCAGGTATAAATATTTATATAATTACAATCGTTTTAATTAATATAATATAATACTTACTTTACTTATCAATTGATTTTAAACATAAGCCCTATCGTTGACATCTGTTTTTCAAATGGGTGTTAAATTGTCGGCCGATACCGAGTTATATATGACTTCTGTCGAGCGAGTGCTCGAATACACGGTTATTAAACCCGAAGCAGAGCTCGAGTCCACTCCCGATCGGAAACCACCTAAAAATTGGCCACAAATGGGAGAAATAGTGTTCAAAGATATGAGTCTTCAATACAACGAATCGCCGCATAAAGTGCTCA